ACCTTTGTGCATGTGGGAAGTGAGCGGCTGCAGCGATCAGGACACATCAGCAGCTAATCGGTCTGAGGAGCGCTGACCCGCTAGCCTCCTGCCACATCGATGTCCATATGGTTTCATTGTTAGCGCGTCCTGTCGGATCATATCTGTGTCACCGCCTTGGTTGTTTACGTCGACCTCATGAAGACGGGAAGCCTCGTCCTACAGCGCTTTTTTTAATGTTCATTAGATGATTAAATCCTGGTGGCTCACTTTCAGCAGGTCTCAGATCAGTGATGGATTATTATTCGACCTTATGTAATGGAATATTAACTGACAACTTTCTCCTCTTTGAGCCTTTGTGGAAAGACTGATTGAAGAGTTGGTGTAGGTAGAGATAGATGTTGGAGCACACCTCCACCTTCTCAGGCAGGCGAGCAGCAGATGATTGTTGTGCCACAAACCTCAAAGACTCAAACCATCGGTGCTGCCGCTGTCACCAAATCAGCCGAGACTCAAGTGTCAGAGCTGCTCCTCAGCAGGCACTGAAGAGGGTGTCTGTACCCTCACAGTGAACCCTCACCCTGCTGTGCTTCCAGCGCCCTCTGCTGGCCACACCCTGTCCCCCCCCCAAACCCAACCAGCTGTCAGTGCTGCTGAACTTTTCCTCTCCAGGCCTTGAAAAGTTTGGAATAACCTGCTCCGAACTGACATGCACATGACCTTGTGTGCGTGTGTGTCTCCTGCTGTTTTAGTGGTGAAGTAATATGTTAGCTGCATGTCAGGAGGGTAAAGACTCACTCAGTCATTCTTCAGTGGAGAAGCAGGAGGCCTCTTGTCTTTAATTTACAGCACACACACACACACACACACTCTCCTCCCCCTCCAGCCTTCAACAAAAAGGAGATTGGCGGTCGACTCCTCTGTGGTGCGCACACAAACACGAGCTCACACTTCAAAGCTCTCTGACTACACACTTGCAGAGTGACGTCATTGTCGGTCTGTTCTTGTTGTTTGTCAGAACAGAAAACGTTTCAGTGTCGGGTCCGAGTTCTGCTCGCTTTAAAGGAAAAGCTGGTCCGGCTTGGACCAGGAAACATCATCACTTTGAAAACAAACGAGGAAAACGTCGTTCTCAGATGGTTTAAAAGTTTACATGTTATATCAGCTGTTTTAGTGCGGGCCCTTTAGGACCTGCACCATGGCATCTTTGTGTGTGACTGTAGCAAAAAAACAAAAAAGAAAGTGGGCGGGGAAAAGGTGGGTGTTCAACTTGATTGGGGAAACTTAAAATGTTGCCATCATAACCAGCTACAGTAACCCCATCACCTCCTGCCTTTTTCTTTTTTCAGTCTTTTTGCTTTTGAATTTATTAAAATGAAGAAAAAAAACATTTCTTCAGTGGGCTGCTGTCTAGGGTCAAAGGTCATGTCATCTGGACAAAGTAGATGTTCTGCTCTTTGAATTTTTTAAACGATGATATTTGAGTTTCAGATTGTTTGTCATGTTATAGTAAAACACCTCTGTGAGCGCTCGGGTGTCGCAGCATCTGTAAATGTTGATTTGAAGCGTCGAGCGAGCAGCAGCCTCCGAGAGCGTTTCCATCACAACCAGCTGGACACATAAAGTTCTTGCTGGGCTTTAGCTCTGGTTCTGATGTTATTTTGAACAGGGTGCCACTGAGAGTGTTTTCTATTGTCCTTAACCAACCAATGAGCACGCACTACAGCGTGAATGCTTATTGTTTTTGTTGGTTTTAAGCCGCCTAATTAATTTCTGACAGATTTTTGATGCTGTCTGACTTTCTCCTGAGCGCCCCCTGCTGTACTTGAGCTAAACTGCAGTCATTTTCTATACAGCGGGATTAACAGGAAGCGGAATGGCGCCTTTCCATCGGCTCTCCATGTGACCCTCCCCTCTCTCTCTGCAGGCTTATGGCTGGGCGCTGCAGGGTATGCGTCACCTAGCTGGGATCAGTATGGAGGACTGCACACTGCCAGACAAATGCCAAGCTGTGATTGGCTGCCTGGAGGACTACCAGCGTCTGCACCCACCAATCCCAGACGCCTGTTTTCAGGAAATGAAGGTGGCTGCGGGTGAACTGCGGGGCGAGCGAGGCCTTCGTCAGTGGAGCTTCGCCTGGTCCAAGTGTCAAGAGACCAAGAAGATGTTTGACAGGAAGATGGAGGCAGCGCTCAAGACGCGTGACTCCGCCCACAGGCGCCGCTCTGACTCTGCCACCAGCAGGAGCTCCATCTCCTCCAGGAAGTCTCTGTCAGGACTCTGGGGGGGCCGTGACACCTCCTCATCCTCCTCCCGCCTGCCAGAGGAGAAAACAAAGGCCTCCTCACCCCCTTGTGATGCCTCCTCGGTTCTTTCCATTACCTCCACCCCTGCTGCCTCCCCTCCCACCCCGCAGCACACGCCGCTCCTCCGGCGACTTTTTCGCAGCTCCTCCTCAGACGAGTCCTCAGACCGCGTGGATATCACTTCCAGCAGTCCCAGACTCCACCGCCTGGATTCTTCTCCCTGCTTCACTCCATCATCGTCTTCCTTCTCCATCTCCTCTTCCTCCTCTTCCTTCTCCTGCAGACGACAGCAGCTCAGGAAGACTCAGAGTTTCGACTGCCCCGCCACTCCGGAGACGTCGCGCTACAGCCCGTCTGCTCGCGCCCTCAGCGAGCCAGCGCGCAGAGGAAACACGGGTGTGTTCATTCGTGGTCTGGAGGTCAGCAGCACTGAGGCAGCAGACCGCACGCTCTGCCCCAGGACGCCTTCTCACAGCTGGGCAGGACAGGGGCCACATAGCCCCGGGACACCCAGCACACCCACGGGAGAACCCCGACCCAGGGGCAGGTGGGTGATCCTGGTTTCTCAGGCTGAATTTGTAGACTGACATCTGCTGACATCTGTGTGTGTGTGTGTGTGTGTGTGCAGCAAGCTGCGTCACGTTGTGGAGGAGATGGTGAACACGGAGCGCGAGTATGTCCGCTCACTGCGTTACATCATACATCACTACTTCCCCGAGATGGACCGAGCAGACCTCCCGCAGGATCTCAGGGGGAAACGCACCGTCGTCTTCGGCAACCTGGAGAAACTCCTCGACTTCCACAGCCAGTTTTTCCTGAAGGAGCTGGAGGCCTGCTCGAAGCATCCACTCAGAGTGCCGCACTGCTTCCTCAGACACGTAGGAGACACGCACGCACACGCACACGCACACACACTCACACACACACACACACACACACACACTCTTCATATGTAATCTGTGTGAATGTGTTTGTGTTGAACAGCAGGAGCAGTTCGGTCTGTACGCTCTTTACAGCAAGAACAAACCCAAGTCTGACGCTCTTCTGGCGAATCACGGACACTCCTTCTTCAGAGTGAGAACTACAACCTCCACCTCTGACCTTTGACCTTTACGTGACCTCATATTTGTACTTACACTAACCCCTGCCCCCCTCGCTCCTGCAGAGGAAGCAGCTGGAGCTGGGCGATAAGATGGACCTGTCCTCCTACCTGCTGAAGCCCGTTCAGAGGATGAGCAAATACGCGCTGCTCCTCACCGACCTCATGAAGGAGGTGGGCGTGGCACAAGAGGCGGAGCTTACTGCACTGCAGTCTGCCACCAATATGGTCAAGTTCCAGCTTCGCCATGGAAACGACCTGTTGGCCATGGACGCCATTCGAGACTGTGACGTAAGTGTAGCCTGATCTGAGCTCAGGTGTTCTAGACTCAGCAGAAATATTGACCTGAGGTGAAAGTCCACATCACACAGATTATGGTCTCCTAAAAATTTCTGGATCCAAAATCCTGAAAAACTTTATTAGTAGTCCAACTAAAAACCAATCACACGACCGCCTTGATGGACATGATTACCAGAGTAAGATGGGAGGTTTGTGTTTGTTGTGGGTTTCATGATAAAGGCGGAGCTCAAGGTGAGACGTTTAAATTGGACCGTGTCGTTAAAAACTCCCTCTTTGTGTTTTCTGCTCTTTTAAGTTAAACAGTGTAACAGTATCAGAAACTATTTTCCATATATGCTGTGAAGCCAGTTCAGAGGCTTCCTCCAGCTGACTGCAGCTCCCCGTGAGGCTGGTGGTAGCCTCCAAAAAGCCTGACCAGCCATTCCTTTGTATTCAGATTACCAGACTAAGGGCTGTGTCCCATGAGCCTCAGCAGAGCCGCTTTTATGGTCTTTTACTTTCTTATAATCCTGTTTTAGCGTCATCATTCGTGCCCAAGTCTA